GATATATTGATACTTTAATATATATAGGTATATATATATATATACATATGTATGTGTGTATAACCACAGCATAAAGCCACTTACACTATTTGATGTACAGCTCTGCAGTAATCTCGTGTAAGTCATAAAATATGCCACCGTTTAATGAGCAAGAGACATTGCATATTTGAAATTTATCTTAATTTGCATCGGCATACAGCTTAGACATACGCATTGAATTATCTCTGCGTGTGCATATTAATTTGGCGGTTGGAATATTATTAAATGCGCTGATAGGGCGCCCCCTCAGATACTGATATACATAAATTATACTTTTTCTTTTATTATTTCATTCGCGCATTTAAGGTGATGCGAACTTTAAGGTTTCTATCTTCTTCTCTATTAAACACGCTTTCGCCACTCCACTTGCATTTGACAACCGTTAAGACTATCACTTGGCAAACTTTGCATATTCTTTAAGGTGACGTCAAGCATGGCAACTTTCCTATCAAACTAGCAAATTTTGAAAAGAGCAGGAGCTAGTATCTAAAGCAACTTTCAAAAGTGAGTTTTGTGTCATTAGTGAAAGTACTTTTTGTTGTTCATACAGCGATTGCATTAATATCAAAATATGGAAGAGTATTGTTTGGTAACACGCAGGATGAATCTTTGAAATGAATTAAAGGTTTCTGTGAATAATTTTCGCCATGTTTACTTCAAATTACTCAGTAACTCTGCTTTCCCTTTATATTATATTTTTAGTCATTTTATGCATTTAGAAAGTTGCATTACTTTTCACAAGTAATTGACGAACATTTAAATACCTTTTTAAACTTTTGTACGGGTTTTCACACGCGAAAATAAATTTTTTAACAGTAAAATGAGTTGAAAAATCCTTTTTCTTGCCTTGTCTGATTGCACCTTAATTCTCTAACTACATTTCTATTTTTAATACTTTTACAGCTTCTTTCTGCTTTATTAAGCGCAATGAACAAAAGTTTCATTTTAAGGAATTGCAATTAATACAGCAAAAATGCAAAGCAAGAGAGAAGCCTTCGAAAAGAGTGAGAAAAAATTAAAATAAATGAGCAAAATGGTTAATAGTTTGATGGAGAGTATGAAGCGCAGAAGTGTCGATTTAGCGGCAAATTGTGGCGAACAAGCCACATTTGTGTAATGAGATACAGTAAGACCCCGCTTAACGGGTGGGATACATTCGATCGAAGTAGAACATAATGTGAAACAGCGCTGAACGAAGCTATCTTAACATTTAATAAATGGGGTTAGGAGAGAATTGAAACGTATTTAATAATTTATGCGTTCTGTTAGAAGTTGTTGTTATGTAAATGAATAAAGCATCTATTACATTCCTGCTAAATTGATCCATAATTCCAGTTATAGTGTTAAAACTCCTTTTAGCAAACGGCATCGAAGTTCTTTTTCCTCTTCTTCGAAATCACTACTGTTAATATTTTTGTTTTCTTCTTGCTCAGCTAATTCCTTAAGGCCATCATTAGCTAGCTGCTGTTTATTGAAATATTTCTTTGACGGCTTCCACATTTACCTCATCTAAATCTTTTATCTCATCCCAAAAAAGGTTTATGTTTTCTATAGCATCCAACATATTGTAGATTTTCCAAATTTCTCTTATTGATTGCTTCTCTTCTACATCTATTTATTCAATCAACTGCTTTTCTTTTCGCCGCAAGTAATATGCTTAAAAACTGGAAATAATGCCTTGGCCAATTCGTTTAATTAATGTATGTATGTGTTTAATCGGATGCCCGGTTTCGGGGAATAAAAGAGCGCTAAACCGAAACAGCGCTAAACGAAGCAGCGTTAAGCGGGGTCTTACTGTACAGAGCTAGGCAATGGATAGATGATGGGTGCTCTAAAATAATAGTCTGTTAAGTATTACATGAAAAAGCTTAAGCTTTATTAAAGTTTTGGACGCCAAATAAATTAATAAAAACCCGCCCACAAACTCATGTACTTTCATGTTTCCTTATCATAATTGGCTGCAACAAAAATAATCAGCAGTAATTGACAGTTCTTAAACATTTATGTTTGGTATACTACGTATTCGAATATTTTATAATATAATTTAAATGAATTTAAAAGTTTTAGAGTAATTAGATTTTACTAATTATTCACATCACTTCTTTCAAAGGACAAATGCTTGCAACACCCTCTCCAAAAGTGTACAAATGCACGAAATCGGAATCGGAATAGTAAAATCCTTAAATTGTTCATTGAATGTTGAATTCTTTCGCAACGTTTCCTAATGTAAAGTTTTACCAATACCCAAATGTATTTCCCCGGCTTTGATCCTTGCACGTTGCAAGAGTTTGAAATGTTTGGTTACACCCGAACTTAGCCCTTCTTCCTTCTTCTTTTATTTAATAATTGTTTTGCCTTTAAAGATAACATTGAAATATAAACTACCCTATCTTTTTAGTTGGATCAAGTTGCACACAGTGTGCCGAATTTTACTAAAATCGATTCAGTAGTTTAGGGGTACACCCACAACACAAGCACCGTGGCACCTCGTTTTGATATATGTATGTACTTATATAGTAGATATTATAATCGGTGATTATTTTTTTACTGACTATACTATTCACTGGCACATTGATATGAAAGACTTGCACCAGGAAATCGTGAAAATTTATTTCTGAAATTCGCGTTTTCTTCCACAAACTTCTAACCAGCTTGGTACACATCAAATAAACTTCCGCAATTAGCACATTTTTTACGTTACGAAAAAAAATCTCTCCGCTTCTCTCGCGTCCGTTGACTCCGTTATACTATTTTTTTTTGGGGCTACAAAACTACAAAAGTTTGACCAACGAAATGATCTTCATAATATGCAGTCATGGTAGTATATATATGCAACTATTTCAAACACAAAGTGTCATGGAATTTGCACACTAATGATTGTAAATATTAACAAGTTCTTTCATTTTTGTATATCAGAGTTATTTTTTAAATACAATTTTTAGCCTCCGTCTTTACAACACCAACTTAATATAGGCAGAGAAATCTCTCCGCTGATGTGGTGGTAGTTTGCAACCATGTCAGCCTCACAAATAAATAATAAAACCCAATTCTTTTTGGGAGTATACCTCTCAATAAGGCTCGCATGCCCTTAAAAGAAGGGCAACTTGTAAGCCCTCAACGTTATCTAACTGTGCAATAGATTTCAAAACCAATTAGCTATAACCTTGACCCTCTTCGGCTCGTTCACTATTTAGTTAGTTAAGTAGCTACAAGCCATATTAAGCGTACGCGTATTTATTTTGTCGTTAAGCACCTCTCCAAAACTCGTATTAACGTGCCGACGCTATACAGTCAATGCCATTGCGACGTGTTTATAAAGAAATTGCTATTGAATAAAACCCGTGCTCTCCAGTTTATTATTAAGTAATAATGTCGGTGAATTTTAAAGCAGATAATCGCTTCAAGTTTCGTCTCTCTTTTTGCCAATTTCTGAACTTCCTTCTAAGCAATATGAAATTGTCTCACGGTATCTTAAAAATGCAATTAATCAAACGCAGATATGTTGGCACACGAGTATTTCTCCATCAGGCTTTCAGCTGAGGAATTTCCATGACAACTGATCGAACTTGGTGCTAACTGTCACAACAGCTTTGTTGACTTGTTTTAATTTATTGCGCAAATATGCAGATTTGCATGTGCGCCTGTCACCCATACTCAAAAGTTCGTATATTTGGTTGTGCGATCACTCTGGCATACGCACGAAGACGCCGGGAAAAATAATTAAATCAATTTAGGCTTAAAGCATAGCCTAACGCTTCGTATAAGCATTTGCCTAGGTGCAAGAAGTACGAAAGAAACTGCAAATTAGCCAAGCTTTATTCATTTTGTTTTCAAATATTCCAGGCAAGGCACACTTTAGTGCAACTTCGTCTACACATATTTGGTGGATGTTCCTGCTCTTATGGCGTGCTTAGCACTATAGTAGTTTATAGTAGATAATTAAAAACTGGATTTTGAAAGTCTCTATTGAAAGAGAATAGAGAACAGTTAAATAACAAGGATATCGCGCTCTGTACTAATTAAATCTAAAACTAAAGCCAATTTAAATTTGGTGAAAATGATCAGAAAAATTGCAACATACTTATGTAGCTAAATACATTAAACGAGTACAAGCGACTTTGCGAAATATGCTTTTATCAAAATAAACATAAACACCGCAAACGAGTCTGTAACGGCTGCTCAAATGTATCGCGTGCGAGTTGTTGACATTAACTCTTCTCCGCTATTCACGCATACGATTTGAAATGTATTGGAGATGTTAATCCCGAGACCACATAACCGCACGTTCACGGCATTTTAGGATTGCCGAAATAGGCTCGAGAATATTTAAATTCGATCATAGGTTTGCTGCTGAAAATAGATTCACACTTAAATATTATTAACTCTTATGCGGGACACCGAAAGGAAATCAAGAAAATCGGAGCATCATAGAAGTCATGAGTGGAATTTTTTGTTATACCAATTTACAGTTGTACATACACACCTTCGTACCTACCATACAGCCTATTTTGTTTGTATAACTGAAATTGTGGCTGGCGTTCCATAAGCCGAAACAGAGACGCTTATTCAAGAGACGTCGACGAGCGACGATTACTGCCAATCAACTCGCAGTCAATGGCACAACGATTTGTTTATGTTTTTGATAATCCATGCTCGTTTTATTTCAACAATTTATATTTTGAGCGTTTCGGGTAATGGGAAGGTTCGCACTTGATTGCAGGCTCAACACATTCAACTATGAGAGTCTTTACTGAGGCTTTAAGCAAAACTAAATAATTTTGAGCCAAATAAATACCAATGTAACTGTATATGTATATTTAGGTATGGCTAATTGTGTATATAACACATCATTAAAACTATAAAAAGTCACAGTCGTCAGTTTGTTTGGTCGACTGTTTTGCATTTTATGCGAATGTGATTCCAGCTAAGTCGTTGGCTGGTAACAGTCTCAGTTGTAAATCGCAGGTGATTCCGTGCAGTATTCAAAGCGGGCTTCATGTCACCTCTTATACTAAGTCATTCTTTACGCAATTTGACTTGTTGCTTTTGGTGGTGGTTCGCAAGTAATTGGCACTAATTTGCGCGCATATCAAGCAGTCATCTCACATTTGTTTACGCTGACAATACGCCTGCGCTTAAGCCGTCGCGCTGTGCCGCTGAGCTAACAGCTTATATTGTAACATCGTTGGAAGTACGGGAAAAATAAAAATCGTTTCGAATTAAGCAAGTGCGCCAACATACAAACATATGTAACTACATAATATATTTACATAACTTGCAAACTTTATGTCAAAATACAACATTTGCCACATTCGCCTTAAAAGCGTTTCTTAACGGTACAATAATCAAAGAAGAGTTTAAAGTTTTTGTGATAAGCATCAGTATGTTGACTGAAAGTGAGAATGCAAATAACTTTTGGCTATTGTGGTGTTTGTTAATCGCCTGCGGAGCCGTGTGCCAAAGCGCAGGAGGTTCTCACATCAGCGCCAGATACAAGCCAATGGCTGTGGATTTGTTCGACCACGAGTTTATTAGTGCCCCAGGTAAACTTATTAATTTCAGTGATATATTATTCATTAGTTTAAAATATGTGAAAGATATTTGGATCCCGGATATTTTTCCTCATTGGGGTCCACACTGATTTATTGTTTCGAAAACATAAAAATTGTGACATTTAAGTGAACTTCATATTTTCCCTTAGAGACTGAAGAAACGAACGGCTTGAATCTCACTTGTACAGAAATTCGTCTTATGTGTTACCCAAAAACTCTAAAGAGATAGAGTGTCAAACCATCAATCGATCGACGAATTGTTTTGTGCTTACCACAAACTTATTAAGGCGATTAATATCAATCCTAGCAACTCCGCTGGGTTCGCCAAAAATGTGTGTACCGAGATGTTAATCTCAGTCTGTCAAAAGTTGGGCAATAGAGAAGGAAGTGATAAGATGATGCCATCCCACCTTCCTCCAAACATCTATGGCAAAGTGCGTCCGGCAGAATATTTAGCCGCACCGCGTGGAAACCTATTTGATAGTGTCCAGTCAGAACACCTATAAGTGTGGCGAGGCTGGAGGCCCAATTGTCAAATGCCAGAACACAAGCAGACACCGGAGAACCGAGGTGATCTCCTTAGTCAGCTCATCGGCTTTGCAGTTTCCAGCGATTTCGCTGTGGCCTTTTCTCAACAGCCTATTAAGGTTCTAAATATTTATATAACTAATCAGGATGACAAGATTAGTTGAAATCCGGGTGTCTGTCTGTCCGTCCGTCCGTCTGTCTGTACAAGCTGTATCTTGAGTACGAATTGACATACTGTAATGAAACTTGGTACACGTGGAGGACAAGTTCGTTGATGGGCATAATCGGACCACCGCCACGCCCACAACACGAAATCGTAGTAGCAAGGACACCTGCGGGATGAAAATTTAGAAAAAATGGGCGGGGCGCCGCAATCTAAAAGTTTAATTTACATATCTACCAAGCCATTCAAGCTAAAATAACTAAAATTGTACGAAAACTTGACCTGCTCGACAGATTTAAACCAAATTAAATAGGACAACAACCACGATTACTTTCGATATAACACAATTTTAAATTTGTTCAGATTCTTTCACTTTTCAGTATGCAAATCAAGCACCAAGATATGTATCGGGAAAAACCTTGCACAAATATTGCATTCAAAATATTCCACCTTCGAACCAAAACTGTTCAAGCTCTCAGAATATGTGAACCCCGGTATCTATAGTTGAATTTTTACTGAAAATAATGGTCACTGTGTGAGATATATAATTAAAATTCAGAGATTATCCTTTCCTGATAATAGTATGTCTGTATGTCAAAATTGGGTTGAATCGGATCAATACTTCCCTTAGCCCCCTTATACCTAATATAACGATTTTTGAACTTCCGAGTGACTTTATACTACCCCCAAATATCAGAATTTTCAAACATACGGCTGACTATATTCCATATGATTGGTCATGGTATGTGAGGTACCTTAACGAAACCCTGGCAACATTTTATTAGTCTGTGGCATGGTAGTGATATGTGGTACTGGCAAATATTGATAAAATCGGGTCAATACTACTCCCAACTTCCATATGCTACTTAAACCGATTTTCGTTATTCCAACAAGTTTTATGCCGAATATGTCAGTCAGTGAGTATTATTTTTATATAAAATTGCTTAAAAAATGTTCTGGAGTATACCTGAGCAATATCAAAATTAATGCAATTAGCCCGTCCCATTATCTCTTTATCCCTTTATCCCTCTATCCCCGATATACGCCATAAAATGATTTCCGTTTTTCCACTTGTAATTAAACCATTCAGGTTGGTGAAAATTAAATGGACAAGTTTTCTTAAAAATTATATGGTTTGGCGAATGGAACTGGTCTATACCTTGGTCTGAACTAATATAATGAATTCCGATTCTCTGGTTCGCGTTTTCCACATCAACTCGATATAGTAACAAAGCTTACAAATGAATAAACTTAAAATACTGATTAAACGGCATTAAATTTTACAATGAGTTCCGCTATTTTATCTTAGGAAGATAAGAGATCACTACAATCCACTTGATGCACCAGGGAAATCGCATGTGAAATTTGCCTTGACTTACAGATTAATATCACATTATCGACTGAACGTTTATTACGTTTTGTAAATCCTCTTAAAATATATGTATTATTTAAATAAACTCAATAATTATGACTTTTTTTGTTCTTATGTTTTCCCCTATAGAAATAAAGATAAATTAAATCGTACATATGTAAATTAATTTCTTAACTTCCATTACAAATCTGTCAGTGACTATCCTCTTGCTTTGTTTCTGATAGCAAAATCGATAAAACTTGTTTTCGTGACACCCAAAACCTATATAATAATATCTGAATTCATGCCACTTACTAAATATTTTTATCGATTTCAATTCTGATTCCGACAACTATCAGATTCTACAACACCCCTGATTATTGACTGCAAAAAATTCAAATCTTTAATTGAGCGGTTAAACATAAAGCAATTGTGAATTGTTCTCCTACTCTTGTCGTATGTGTGTATGTTTTTGCGATTTCCGTTCGCGCGATCTCTCGCAACGAACGAAGTTTTGTTCGCGAATAATTCTTCGCTGCCTATATTTTATACGTTTCAAAAAGCCATAACAAAAAAGAACCTTTTACGGTCATAATAATAACATAGAATATATGTATCTCTAAAAATCAACTGAAAACACAATTTAATTTGTATATATTTTAGATCCCTTGGGTTCCAATGTAGAAGATTGGGATGAAAGTGAAACAGGAATGGATGATCCGGAAACAATGCCACGCCTCTTCCAAGGCGATATTGCTATAGACCCGTACACTTATATATCGCTTAGACTAGGCGTTAACCCCATGAAGCATCCAAAACGTCTGTGGCCGAACGCTACAATCCCCTTCGAGATCAGCCATTTATATACAAACAACGAACGAATGTCTATAGAACGTGCCTTGCAAACGTTCAACGCTTTGACTTGTGTTAATTTCGTACCATATGATGGCGAAGAAGAGGATTACGTACATATTACACCGCCCGTAGACGACGCACCGGCTGGGTGTTGGTCGTATGTAGGAAAACGTGGTGGAGAACAAGTCGTGTCCCTACAACAACCAGACGAGAACAGTGCGCATTGTTTCAGCAGTGAAGGCCGCATCATGCACGAGCTCATGCATGCAATCGGAATTTATCACGAGCAGTCAAGAGCGGATCGAGATAATTTTGTAAAAATTCATTGGGAAAATATTGTGCCCAAATATCGTAAAAATTTTAAGTTAATTTCAAAAAAGAAGGGCAAACATGCATTTGATTATGATTATAATTCTGTAATGCATTACGGTGAATTCTACTTTAGCAAAAAGAAGGGAGAGAAACCTACCATGACACCACTACAGCCAGGAGTTCGTATAGGGCAGCGGAAGACTATCAGTAAAACAGACTGTTTGAAGATCAACGATTTGTATGGTTGCTTGAACGGCAGACATGCCAGAATGTACAGAAGTTTTTGCAATTTATTGGGACTATGAAAATATGCTCGAAAAATAATTATTATGATGTTGTTATCTCGATAATATCTGAATAGATGACATTCTATTTTTTTTCTAGGCATTAATTGAATTTATTAAATCATATTGATTTGCAAATATACTAACCAAAATTACTATAACTCTTTGATGGTTAAATAATTTTTAAGATTTCAATAGTATCAAATAGGTTCCGTCACTGTATGAAACATTTTTCATATGTTTTAATGTTTAAAGATGCATTAATTTAAATATAACAAATAAAATTATGATTTTTAAACGCATTAGTTTTTCAAGTAGAAATATTCACTACAAGCCAATTACCAGTTAAGTCACTGGTTAATTATCCTAAAGCGCTATAAGAGATTTCAGTTAAAGTTTCTAAGATCACGTCGACTATTGAACATTCTAACCGAAATGTTTATTGTACGTGTGAACGTTCGTCCCTTTCTTACGCAAAGGTCTTTTGAGTTGCACGGTGGTATGTGTTAGTTTCCGCGCTAATTCTTTCATTGTATTCAATTTTCGGTAGTCGTGATTTCCTGGATGGTTTATGGCTGATTCACATGGAGCTTTCATAGAATTTTTGAATTGATAAAAAAGTTCGATGTATGCTTTTATATGAGCAGACTCACATCGTAGCGAAACGCAGCAAAGCGAAGCAAAATGTGCAATTCTTATCTTACTCGCTTTGGCAAGCAGCAGCCGCCAATTGTATTAACGAATGACACGGAAATCAAAGCATTCATTCTGAAATTTTGCATTCTTCGCTTTGTTTTTGAGTATGAATATAAGCAAAGCGAAGAATGGGCCATTATATGTATATTCGTTGACTTAAGGCACCATATTTAAATTATTAATATTTCACAACACTATTACAAAGTTTTCCGAACAATTTTCGGAGGTAAAGTTTAAAATTTAGCTACTAATGATAATGAATAAACACAACCCATATGGAAGAATACATCATGTGAAAGCTGATTGCACATTTATCTGCCTTAAACTCGACAACTTAAACCAAGCAGCTTTTATTAATGAGTTACGTATCATTAAGAAAATATATATTAAATTTTTAAAAGTTCTTCTTCTTTTTTTTAAGATTCTTGCGTATTTACAATAAGAAAGATGAGCAACCCTGTTATAGAATAAATTACAACCCTGCGGAATGCTTCGGTGAAATTTTCCGCTGCCATCGTGCAATGCGTCATTCCACTTTTGGACGAGGTTAGGTAAGAACGGATTTTATAATCGGTTTATTTCCACGGGTGTTGCTGCTTTGTAACCAATAAATGTGCTTGTGAAAGGAATTTTTAGTACAGTGAAAATGTTTAAAATATTGGTTCAAAGTTTGGCGAAAAACTCGTGTGAAAGCCGAGCACCGTCACAAATTGCCGCCGTGACGTGTGTAAAAAATTCATTGATTTTACCAGCGGCCAATAATCATACATTTGCCACGAGTACTATAGCACGACGCCATTTTCTTTTTCTAACCAACAGAAGACCAGTGAGCTTTGCTTTTCATCATCACGATCTAACAGCAGGCAGAAAGGACGCATTAGCGGAGTATAAACAGATTAAGAAATCATTCTTAACAAATTCTAGTGGAATAATCAACTCCGGTAGCTTCTACAGGTATTTTCACAAGTCGAGCGAAAATTTAGTGGAAGGAGAAGCGTCGTCTGCAGAAAAGCAAAAGTCTTCGGTAAAAACCAGCAATAAACACTCGTTTACAAATTCATCTTTGTATATAGATCCAGACGAAATGTGAGTAAATTTCTAAATATTTTTTTAAAATAAATTTGTAACTTGATAATGCATCATGTGGTCAATTCGTGGTCGAGGCTATGTTATTAGTACGTCGTCCATTTTGATTTTCTCTGCAATGGCGTATACATAAATTCAATAGCGTGTATGTATATAGCTATAGAGAAATGACGGGTTGAAGTACGAAAAGTGAGAAGGGGTATTTAAAAAGTCTTACGATGGTTAATCAAAATAAATTAGTATACAAATAGATTTTAAAGGCTTGGCGCTTTAGTTGCAATATTAAAAAGGTAAAAAATGATAGCAAAACATGAGTTCTACAAATATCTGCGGATTGTTCATTACAACTGCGCATTATCCACTTCGCTTATATGTATCTATCTATTCTAACGTCATACGAAGCTTGATCTTGTTTCGGTAATTACCTACCTTTCATTTTTCAACTATACCAAGTTTATTCCGTTGCTACCCAGTGTTTTAAGACTCGCCTTTTCCTTTTTTTTTTTGCTCTGCGTTTTCATCATCGTCGGTTAAAGTAAATAAGTTGTGATTTTGGTAAGCAGTAAAAATGTGTAGTAACATGTTTTATTTCCATATTTTGCCTTGCGTGCTGATTGGTAGCGAGCAATTGTAATTTATTGTTTGGTGGTAGGTACGGATGTAATATAATTTACGAGAAAAAGCACAATGCAATCAAATTACCATTCTTATTGATTAGCCGCGATTGTTCAAGATTGCTGTTTGATTGCACATTTAGTGTTATATTACCAAACAATTATTGTGCACGAAACAGTAAAATAGTCTTCAAGAATTAGTTATAAAACGGTATTTTTCAAACATAAGGATCAGTGAAATTTCGAATATTGGATTTAATTGAGTAGTTTTAGCGCTTAATGTATATGCATAACTTGACATACCAAAAATTTTTCCATATTGATTCACATTCTTATAGTTCGCTTTTTTAAGAGAGGCTAAAAATCAAAATTAATTGTTACGGCGAAGCAATATTTACAATTGTGAATTATTTTTTAGTAAAATTCTGAAATGAATCATTCGAATACACAGAATAAACGTAAAAGGTTGTTGGCAGTAGTATCATCAACCAGTGAAATATACCATGCTATATTGGCATTAAAGTTATAAAAATATATAGTCGATTTTTCAAGTATACTATTTATTCTAGGGCACCTCATGATAGGAACTTTGGCGGTCGTGGTGCACGTGGTGGAGATGATCGTCATGCCAGACAGGGAGGCGGTGGCATGCGCAATGGAGGCGCTGGCGGTAATGGAGGTGATTTCCACGGTGTGCGAAACGGTCGTGTTGACAAGAATCGTGGAGGTGGTGGTGGCGGACGTGGAGGTAGCGGAGGTTTTGGTGGCGGTAGCGGTTTTGGTGGTGGATATGGAGGAGGCAATCGTGGGGGCACCCAAGATCTTACCCTCGGAAATGTCGACTTCTCAAATCTTGCACCATTCAAGAAGAATTTCTATGAAGAACACCCAATTGTTGCAAACCGTTCCCCGTATGAAGTACAACGTTTTAGGGACGAACATGAAATCACCATCCGTGGAAATGCCCCTAACCCAATTCAAGATTTCAGCGAAGCCTATTTTCCAGATTATGTAATGAAGGAAGTACGCCGTCAAGGTTATAAAGCGCCGACAGCTATTCAGGCACAAGGTTGGCCAATTGCTATGAGTGGTTCGAATTTTGTCGGTATTGCACAGACTGGATCCGGCAAAACCCTTGGGTACATCTTGCCAGCGATCGTACATATTAACAACCAGAAACCGTTAGAGCGGGGAGATGGACCCATAGCTTTGGTCTTGGCACCGACACGAGAATTGGCTCAACAGATTCAACAAGTTGCCACCGAATTTGGCTCTTCATCGTACGTTAGAAACACATGCGTTTTTGGTGGGGCTCCAAAAGGAGGTCAAATGCGCGATTTGCAGCGTGGCTGTGAAATCGTCATTGCCACACCGGGTCGCTTAATTGATTTTCTTGCAATGAATGCCACCAACCTGAAGCGTTGTACATATTTGGTATTGGATGAAGCTGATCGTATGTTAGATATGGGCTTTGAGCCTCAAATTCGCAAGATTCTGTCACAGATTCGCCCCGATCGCCAAACACTTATGTGGTCTGCTACTTGGCCCAAAGAAGTTAAGCAATTGGCTGAAGATTTTCTTGGCAACTACATTCAAATAAATATTGGTTCTCTGGAATTATCGGCAAATCACAATATCCGCCAAGTCGTTGACGTCTGTGAAGAACATGACAAAGAAGACAAGTAAGTGTCGTGAAATCAATTGAGAGAATTTTTTAAAATGTTGGCTTTTATATAAAACATGCGTTCATTGATTATTAATTAACATTATTACCTTCTATATTTTAGGTTAAAGTCTTTGCTTTCTGAAATTTACGATACCAGCGAAAACCCAGGCAAGATCATAATCTTTGTGGAGACCAAACGTCGCGTGGACAACTTAGTTCGTTTTATTCGTAGTTTCGGTGTGCGCTGCGGCGCCATTCATGGCGACAAGTCACAGTCGGAACGTGATTACGTCTTACGTGAGTTCCGTTCTGGAAAGTCAAACATTCTGGTAGCAACTGATGTCGCTGCACGTGGTTTGGGTAAGTTTTGCAGGTGCACTCGCTATCAAATCATTTTATTACAACATCATTTCCATATTTATAATGTTATTATTTACATTTACAAAATTTACTTGACCGTGATTGCAAAATATTTTAAATTTCTATGACAAGAATAAAAAATGACCAGATCATTTGCAATCACGTATTCCAGTAATTACAATTGTAAGTAGCTACTCCATTACATCTAATGATCCTAGGCATCTGACAATGCTTCAACGATAGATCCTAAATTTACTCGAACCAGTTCTCCAAAATTCACTTTAGCTTTAGTGACAAATAAGTCATCATAACTCTGATAAAAGACATATTAATCAATTTGGAATTTTTCCCTTCTTTTCCCCCAAATCTATTCTCCTAATTCTTTTCGTTTACAGAGGCCGATTATTGTAGTATGGTGGGGATAAAATGATCAACTTTTGAAATGACGCAATTCACTAGGATTGCGTTGATAAGTGAACTCTTGAATTTTTTCGCAAAAGTATCCGCCGAAAAGCTCTTTGAACGGAGCGTTTCCATAAAAGCTGAATGAAAAGTGCGACGGTGGCGGCAGTACTTTGTCTACACATTCCGATGCAAAAGAGGGATGTCGTCGAACCACCTGCTGCCACACGTTTGCACGCATCGTCATTGCACATTTGAGGAGAGATATAATACGCAACAGCAGATGGATACGCTTATGTAACACGTACAACCTGTGCGACAAAGCGTTTCAGTGCAACTTAGCGTATACACAAGTACTCCAGACTACAAAAAAGTAAAAGGCAGAAACATTCGTCCATAACACGCGAAATCTATGTCGCGTCGTCGTGTAATTTTTTATTCATTTTGTGTTTTGTATAAAAATTGCCTTACAAAAAAATATAAAACCAGCTTTTTCTCCCAATTTGGCAATGTGCATAAAGAGTTCTGCGGTACACAATATCCCTATCATCATGCAGCAAATGTGGCCTCTGCTATCTTTTATTTAAAGTGATAGTATTTTTCGAAACTAAAAAGTATCGATTTCGAAAATAGAAAATAAATATAGGAATTTTCAAAGTATTAAACAAATGCCAATCGAAGGGACAGATTATGTAAATTCAATAAATTGTTTTGTTAGTATTTTATGTGAATTTTCCTTTCTGGTACGTCATAACGAATCGCGTTAAATCACACGCAGGCAATCAAGAGAAACTCCATACAACTAAATGCATGTCCATCCTACAATCGCTATAATAATCGCATGTGTTCTTTGACTGAATCGTATCGACTTTGTAGAAAATATTTCGATTTGCAAGGAACAGGTTCATTGCGCGTAATTAAATAAAAAAATTAAAGAAAAACATTTACGAATAAATTAGTTAATATCTGAAGTGATCCGCTATCATTTTTGCTGGCAATCTTTGATCCTGTTCAACGCGTATTCGCGGTAAAAAGCGCTCGGTTGTTGTAACGTGGCACGGCATCGAAAATGTTTTGCCTTACTCATTCGATAAAAGGAAAGGTTGTTTGTATCAAACGAGCTGGTGGCGACCTTCTTTTGGACAATAAACAAATGTTGAGAAGCTGTTGCTGTTGTTCTAACTCTACCATGGACATCACAGAACACCAGTTCATCATTTGCTGCACGTCCAGAAAAAAGCGTCGTCGTCGTCTGCGGATTCTTGAACAACACATTCACATTCCATGAAATGCCGAAAGTTCGTGAAAGGCAAAACGTAACTTAAAAAGTGCCACAAACGCATCACAATACCGCCGACAAAGGACACATTTGCAACGTGGATTTGTTTGTATAAAAATTGGAGGATATGCATATTAATATAATGGTGAAGTGTGAGAAAACGACGGACATTTACTGGCCGTCATAGTTAAATGAAGATAACTACTCTTTGTCAACATGCCTGCGGTAGTGGTTTTACCTGAACATTGGCTGATGGATGCACGACGTCGGCGAGCGGCGCACAAACTCTACCACCAAATAGTTGGATGTGCGCTGAACTCCACTCGAGACGCATTTAACTCGAAACTCGTGCGGAATCGAGCTGCATCGTTCGTCCATCTTGTGTCCATTTAATGTTGATTGAGAGAAAAAAGGGAGACAGATTAGAAGGGAAATACCCTGACTATATTTAAAGTTTAACCACATGCTCTTCCACTCGTTTCGCTGAACGGGACGAGAGAAGAGTGTGAATATAAATCGACTATTTGAAGGTAAAGTACATCTTAAGTCCACTGTATCTTTTAGTTTAATTTATTCTAATGATCAAAAGTGATGAAAAGTTAAAAAAAAATTTCATATTCTAATACATCACAGCCAAAAAACTTTATCTTTAAAAAGTGAATTTAAATTGAATAAAAAACAGTGCTCTACTTTGCAAATGTCGAAAATCCTTTGATGTACCCGACCTATGTTTGTTATTATCTACTGCTTTTGAACTTTTTTCAAACAACATTTACCTAACTTTCGATTTTCTTACTTCTCACCACAAATACACTTAAATAATGTGTGCTACAGATGTGGACGGTATCAAATATGTAATTAACTTCGATTACCCACAATCGTCAGAGGATTATATTCATAGAATCGGACGCACTGGACGTTCCAACACAAAAGGCACTTCTTATGCATTCTTCACCAAAAATAATGCCAAACAGTCGAGAGCGCTGGTTGATGTATTACGAGAGGCTAATCAGGTAAACATAATTGATAATTAGATTCAGATAAAAACTAAAATACTATATAAAGCTAGTCCTCAGAAATTAAATCAAATTATATTTTTCTTTAAAGGAAATTAATCCTGCGCTAGAAGGTATGGCGCGTAATAACCGTGGATTTGATGGTGGTCGTTCCCGTTATGGTGGTGGCGGCGGCAACTCCCGTTTCAATGGCACCTTCCGAAAGGGCGCTATTGGAGGCGGCGGTAATGGTGGTGGTGGCCGCAGCTACGGTGGCGGTTATGGCGGCAACAGCGGCGGAGGATTTGCCGGCGGACGCAGCAACGGTTACAGCAATAACAATGGCAACAGCGGCGAAAACAGTTACGGTAGCCGCAACGCAGCCAGCAGTAGTAGTGGCGGCGGCGGCGGCAGACAGCATACGCGCTTTGATTAAATATACAAATTATGCTAGGATATAAGTTATTAATATTAATTTCTCATTTAAATGCAGTTTTACTTAAATATAACTACTAACATTAAACTAAAACCCACTTTTGCTTCAAATGTTGAATTTTCTGGTTTGAACAGAAATTACTCTAAACCTAGCCAATAACTAATAGTGAGGTTTAAGTCAGTTTACATTTTATATATTTTTCAAATCTGCATTTCTTTCAATAACAAAAACGAGTTTAAATTACTTGAAAATCAAAAGTACATGCTCTCGGGCGAGTCGTAAAAGAAAGAAAGAAAGAAAACGCAGCGTTTGGACCAGTAATTATTCCGAATGTTTAATCTTTGAAAAATTTTGTTTGCTACGGGGCAACATTTAATGCTTCATGAGCGTGTGCTTTTGCAAAAGTAATTTGTGATGAAGAAAATTTATTTATATTTATATTAATTTTGCCCTGTATAAAACGCGTATTTGCACTCAGAATGTAGCCGTAAATATCGTCATACATAGCGTCTATTGTATGTGTAGTCCTAAGTTAGCTTCATCTATCCATGCGCCCAACCATTAACTGGCACAAACTATCAGTATCTCTTTAATACATTAACAACAACAGCACATTTTTATAATCTGTGCGCCTAGACTTCAAGTGACATTTACAAGCAAATGTAAAAAAAAAATATATATATATCTGAAAAAATTAAACAAATTCCCATAATCAAATGAGACTTAAGTGAATTTAAAATGATTTAAAACAATACATATACTTTGAAGAAAAATAAGAAAATTAATGCAATAAAAATTGGTGTGAAATCCATTTGGTGTTGTTGTATCATTGCGAAATTAATATTAGACAGGCCGTATGTACGAGCCCACAACTCGCCGCCGGCCGACCACGTAAACGTAATGAATTTACTTGCACGTATATTGAGGAAAATGCGTGGTTGTAGTTGTATGGAGGTTATAAAATAGAACGCAGTCAATTCGATATATTTGAACAAAATAAGTAATTGAAATAGTTTAAAATCATATATAAAATAACCAAAAGGGAGTCGTGGAAGAGCTTCCTCGGTAAGTTAGAAAAGGCAACCGAAGTAGCTAGGTTTAGGAACTACTTTCCAAGCATCCGACTACCCCTAGGGTAACATGCAAAAAATGTGGAGAGTGGACTGGTTGCAATCATTGGAAGATCTAGTCAACACGCATTTTCCAGGGTGAACAGACGTTACTAACTTCCAATTTGTAGCAAATAGCGTAGAGTGCGTCCCCTCGGATAAGATAATAACATAAAATACTTTGGGCACTCTGGACTGTATTTTTCCAGCCATACCTGATGACAATATATGAAGGATGTTTCAGGCCTATCTATGTTCCTATCCTTTGGGAAGAAGCGAGAGCCATATTCATTACAAAGGCGGGGAGTCCCCCTCTATTCGAAAGAATATAGACCAATAAGTCTAACATCATTCCTTCTGAAGACACTCGAAAAGGTTATAGATGCCTACATCAGGGACAATATTCCATTGTCTAACCTGTCGAATCCACTGAAACTATACTTAACTCGTTAACCTTTAATATTTATAGAGAAAGCTCTAGAGCATAAGGAATATGCCCTGGGCGTTTTTCTTGACATAAGCGAATCATTTCATAATGTCTCCAATGGTGTTATCGTTAATAGTCTGGAAGTACTAGAGTAGAACGAAGCCGGATTGCTCAGACTAGCGCGAACAGGAACTCCTCAGGGAGGGAGTGTACTATCGCCTCTCCTGTGATCACTGGTAGCAAATGAGCTTCTGGAAAAATTTGAAAGCAGAGCACCCAAACTGATAGCCTATGCAGATAACATAGCAATACTAGTGACGGACAAGTTTCTAGACTCTAAAAGTCATACACCAATGGACATTATCGGCTAACCTAGAGGTAAATGTAAACTGTTGGAGCGAATACAAAGTCTCGTTGCTTTCTACTTAACGGGAGCACTAAGAACCACTCCAAAAGCTGCACTTGAAAGTTTACTCAACCTGCCACAAACTGACATAGCAGTGGAAATCTTGGCAGAGAAATCAGATGTAAGGTTGACGGCGTTAGGTGAATACACACAAGAACCTTCGGACATAGCTTGATAGGCAGAGGGTCGGTGGATAAGATAGACCACATACCCTCACGCCTTATCTGGGATAGAGGGTTTCAAATCATACCAAAATAGAGTGGATGACACAGGGGCACGCGATCGATCATCGAAACTAAACTTATACACAGACGGATCAAAAATGGCTGATGGAGTGGGCGGGAGCTAGATCCCAGGAGACCTTTCAAGCTTCCGGAGTACTGCCGTCTCTTCTAGGAAGAAGTCTTTGCGGCCAGGAAAGCTGTTGAGATAGCTAACAGCGCACGAAGAATATCTATATATACGTCGATAGCAAAGCGGCAATTATCTCACAACGCATTTCGCCGGAGAATGTTCCTAGAAGCAGGGAGGTAGTAGATATAGTGGCTGGCGGAAAGCGGCTGCATATATGTATACTGGGTTCCGGTCAAGAAACACACAAAGCATTAAAAAGATATACAACGAAATTTCCGAAAGCGCTGACAGACGGATTAGGGTGAGATGAAATGCCTAAGGGGCATGCAGGTTCGCCAAGATCATATGCAAAGGGGCAGAAGGAAAGCGTGCAAGCTTTTTACTCACGCGGTCTTGAGAAGACTGCAGGACGACTGTTGGCCTAGTCACAGGTCCAAACTTACTGGCATCACGTGCGAACCGTATGGGCATTACTAACAATTACTCATGCAGGGAAGTATACATGAGAGAGACGCTGGAACACCTCATCTGTTTACGTCCGGCTTTATCTAGAACTAAACTTCAATATCTAGGAGCGTCGCAGTTCAAGGGACTGGAGAAGTATCAGAATTAGATATCAAGTCTTTATTAAAATTCGCAAAAAGTGTTGACTACCGGCACGGCGAAAACTTCAGCTGCTCATAAGAAAAAGTCTTCATGCTCACTCAAATCCATTCCAGCGTTCTAACACGAAGTAAGCAAATGTTTTATTGAAAATGAAATGGATTTTAAATAATGTTTATTGCAGATTCATAAGCTATTCTCGTTTAGATGAGGAGAATAACATTAACACAAACTCGCGGTTCCTTCATTTTTTTTCACTGTTTCCAAACTGTAGTTTGTTTTGTCCAGTTTCGGTATTTTACTCCCCGAACTCAAAAAACTTTTCACATTAAAACAGATTAAAAAAGTTTAAAATTAAAAATAAAATAGTTCTTTTTTTTACCGATTTTTCATTTTCTATTAATATTTTTCCTAAATACATAAATTCATTAATGTTCAACTACAACTGCCTGTTAGCAGTTGCAATTTTTTGGTACTCTAGTCAACCGCACTGGCACAGAGTTGAAAACCGTAATACCAAAAAAAGTTGAAGTTTGACAACACTTCAAGCGACATTTTTTTGACGGGGTTGAGTTGATAATCATAATATCGAATTTCAAAAATTCAAAACCAAAATGAGGTTGGGTTGAAAACCGTCAGAGGTGCCTTAATTTTGTTAAAGTAGCTTACATACTGACCGATATATATGATATAAAGTAAACTGGAACTTGAAATAATATGTTATGAAGTATATTTGAGCAAACGGAAGCATCGCCAGGAAAATACGGTTTCTAAGTTTCATTGTTTTATCTTACAGATTGATCGATTTTTTAATAAAAAGTTAGTCATAGGCACTCAGGTCAACATATTCGAACAGTAGAAAACACATCACCTGCATATCACATCATCATTAACAGAGTTAAAACGGCTACCCTGAGGCATCGCTCCAATTCAACTGTTCTGGCACCAGAGTTAGGTCGAATAAAAGATTGAATTTATTATGACTTAAAACGAAGTATTAAAGTACTGAATATATCCACTATTTAAAACTAGCAATCATTCAACATTCAGAGGGGAAACATCACATTACTACTTTCTCGAATGCACCACAAGAATTTTCGTATTTATTCTTTAAGGTTGATATGGCGAGAAAAGACAATACCTCAGCCAACGAGAAAAATGAGTAAGACTGCAAAAATATTTTCAGGCATCATTAAATATAGTAGAAACACTTAACACCCCAAAGACGTTCAAAGTAATTTTGTCGCAAAATATAATAAAGTGAAAGAGCCAACTCCAATGTGGTCACAGAATGGCCTGATAGCGAAGCAGATGATAAAAGCTTATTCTCCAATGGGGGTGATTATGATGTAGAAGCCATTGACCAGTCATGCTGTTTCGCTACGGTTATTACATACACATCATTTTTGTATGTGTATATAAGTCAATGTGTGGTTGTGTTTGTGGGTAACGACATCTTTTCTAAAGAATGTCGGAGCACTTTTTACAGCGAATGAAGCCAATTCACTCGGACTCCAACTTTCGTTTCTGGCCGCTAATAGTCGTCATTCCCTTCAGTTGATAGCTTGATGTTTGATAGTCTATTTGATGGCTCACACTCAAAGAGGGGCGAAGGTCATAATCAGTAGGGTATGCTTAAGTATATATAAATGTATATGTATGTATATATCTGTGAACATATTATAGATATTGGGTACAAAGCGGCAAAACTTGAAGCTGGTGAAAGAATATTATCGCGAAGTCGTTTTTGCTACTGATCACTGGGTTATTAAGTGTTAGCTTCGGCTACAATCTTCATCAGCAGATGCACTCTTTTTCCACGCACAAATGTCACAGTCTATAATATGTGTGTATGTGCTTGTGGACGGACATGTATTAACACTTGTGGTGTGCATTTTATCTGAAGATATCGAGAGTATACATATGTATGTATGTATGTATGTTTTTGCATGAAGGAATGATGATAATATAAGAACCCCTCATGCATGGTCTCGTCCTTTCCACGCACTACAAACGAGTTGCATTTTTGACGTACGAACACACACATATGCATATGGATTTTTTGTGTGTCCAACTATGCTTTATGTGGGAAATGCAAACTGAAGCATTAAAAATAAATATCCATCGAGATTTGACCGAGGATGGAAACGTGCACAATTTTAAAGCTGTTCTTCAAAGGAGTCCTTATTAAATTATTTTATAATTTTAGAATATCAATCTAAAAAGAAAAGAAGCTCGAAAATTTCAAATTGATATGATTTGCGTCACAAAAACAACAAAAATAAAATTACGGATACTCGACGTATATCAAATTCCGAAATCTAAACTTTAGTGTACGCCCATAGAGTCTCGTACTTGTTTTTTCTGTGCTCTAGGTACTTCCCTCATAACTGCGAAAAAGCTAAGTAAATTTTACTCAAATATCGGCGCATCAGCAGAAAGAGTTTTGGGTAAAAGCGCATTACTGTTAGGCCTGTATCAATTTACGTGAATTTTGTTACGGTAAACGCGCAATGAACCAAAGGCAGCCGTGTAAGAGAACTCATTGTATTTACAAAATGTCATTTCGGTTGAGATCTGTAACAAGTGAGTGAATGAATGAAGTAAATGAACTCGTGAGAATCAAGCTTCATGCGATAGAAGTAGCAGATATGCGACCTGCTAGGAATGGTGCGGGCCACACATAGCTTTATCTGGTTGCTAAAATTATTAGACTTATATATATAAATTCTTTAAAATATTCCTTATCACGATGGGTGTTCTTCGTGAGCTGCA